TGTTATTGCCTTGCAATTGGATCAGCTCGATGGTTTTGTTACATAGTTAGTTAACAGCAGAGAGAGAATATTGCTGCCCTACAGGGAGTCCCATGCTGCTGATAAAATGTAATTAGCTCTAACGTGAAAAGTAAAAACACAGCTTACCTGAAATGCACATTTCCTTTTTCTTACCCATGGAGCCCTGTAATTCTGAGGGCGTCACTTTTTATTTAAGGAAAAAATATTTATTTAATATTTGCAAAAATTGAAGCTCCCCCCCCCCAATGAAAACATGTCGTGAGGTTTTACGGATCTGTTCCAGGGAGGGAACCCTGAATAATAAAGCTCGTTTTTAGAGATTTCCCCTGAATAATAAAGCTGGTTTTTAGAGAGAAGTTGTTTAGTTTATTTTAATAACGTTATCGATCATTTTCATATCTGAAGTTACTTGAAAGTCGATGATAAAGAGCACGAAACTGGTGATCATTTGCATTGGGCAAATCGTTCATAAATCAGAAGAATTAAGAGTGAAATTAGAACTTTCCACCCGGCTGTGCATGAAAACAGACCCGAATGTGAGCAGAATCAATTTACACGAATGAACCTGTGATGTATGGATTTATTATGGGGCGACTTAAATGAAGATTGATGATCGTCCGTGCGTTGTGGTAGCACAGATTGGCAAGACTAATTAATTCTGTTTTGTTTCATTGGTGAATAATGTAACACATTTCAGCCTAGTTAACTGGGGGAAAATGAAGATAAATGAATGATTTCTTTCAATGGTTTCTAAATGCTTCTCAAATCCAAGCACAGGTATGGAGCCATCATGATTAAACAGGAGGCTCAAAATGACTCATCCCCCCCCCCCCAGTGATTGATGCTGTCAATAAAACTTTGTTGACGACTGTTGTGAGAACAGCATGTCCTTCATGTGTTTCAAATTGTAATTTGCAATTTAGATAAGTGTTAATGTAAAAGAACTAACGTAACACGAGTTGGGAGAAGCCCCTTCAACTCACAGGATTTCTGCTTGGCACGTGGTCTTTTCCTCACCTGATATTAGTTAAGCCACTGTGACTGTGGGAACATCCTCCAAATTTTATATCACACTGTGACCGAGTTCCCCCTCAGAAGATTCCCTGGATCCCTGCATGAAATACAATCATCTTTAGGGCACTGCTGTCCAATGGGTAAATCAGCAAGATGTCCAGCCAAGGCTTTAGCCACCCCAGTAACTGCTCAGGCATAATTTCATACTATTCATTGTTTTATTCATCCCTCCTACGGTGTGTTTTTAAAATAATTCGCTGCTCCGACGTTTAATATTATGACACATATTTTACGTGCTATTTCTGTGGATTTTGATATGTTCTGTATTCTGTTACACTATACCAGGGGTAGGCAACCTTGGCTCTTTTATGACTCGTGGACTTCAACTCCCAGAATTCCTGAGCCAGCCACGCTGAGGGGAAAGGGAGAGGTTTCCAAGCTGAGCCATGCTGGCTCAGGAATTTTGGGAGCTGAAGTCCACGAGTCTTAAAGTTGCCAAGGTTGAGGACCCCAATATAGGGCAGGGGTGGGGAACCTTGGTTCTTTTATTATTATTATTTTTTTATTATTATTAAATTCAATTTATATCCCGCCCTTCTCCTTGCGGACTCAGGGCGGCTGACAATCGATTAAAATACACAAATAACAATTACAAAATTAAAATTAATTAAAAAGAAATATTTAAACGTAGTCCAATTAAAATATAATTAAAACCCCTCTAAAAATTACCTTAGGCCAGTCCTGCAAGCTGGAATAACCAAGTCTTAAGGGCGCGGCGGAAGGAAGGGAGATCAGGGATGACCCTGATCTCTGGGGGCAGTTCATTCCAGAGGGTGGGAGCTCCCACAGAGAAGGCCCTCCCCCTTGGGGTCGCCAGCCGGCACTGTCTGGCCAACGGCACCCTGAGGAGACCCACTCTGTGTGAGCGTACTGGTCGATGGGAGGTAATCTGCGGCAGGAGGCGGTCTCGAAGGTATCCGGGTCCGATATGACTCGTGGACTTCATCTCCCAGAATTCCTGAGCCAGCATGGTTCAGCTTGGAAACCTCTCCCTTTCCCCTCAGCGTGGCTGGCTCAGGAATTCTGGGAGTTGAAGTCCACGAGTCATAAAAGAGCCGAGGTAGCCTACCCCTGCACTATACAAAATGATACATGTAGAGGTAGTTCTCGACTTACAACAGTTCATTTAGTGGACGTTCGAAGTTACAACAGCACTGGAAAAAGTGACTTGGGACCATTTTTCATACTTATGACCATTTCAGCATCTCTGTAGTCATGTGATCAAAATTCAGACACTTGGCAGCTGACCCATGTTTATGACGGTGGCCGTGTCCCGGGGTCCCGTGATCCCCTTTTGCAAACTTCTGACAAGCTAAGTCAATGGGGAAGCCAGATTCACTTAACAACCGAGTTACTAACTTAACACCTGCGTGATTCACTTAACAACTGTGGCAAGGAAGGTCGTAAAATACAATCGTTGCATCCCTTCCTGAGATAATGTATTGAAAGATTACATTCTGGAATCCTTATTTATTTATTTCGTGTATGGAAACCTAACATTTTTTTTGTATGAAGCAAGGACATTTTTGGAAAATGGAGTCCAAAGATCTGCATAGCCCAGCCTCATCGGAAATAAAATGTGGTTTTCTTTCCCTATCTTTTTACGAAAGCCAGTCCTTTAAAAATTAAGCAGCCAATTGGTATAATTTTCGAAAGTAATAGAACCTATTTCAATATAGATGTAGGAATTTAGTAGCTATTAGAAAAAAAATAAGCTTTTTATTGACAATTAACCAGTGGAACAACCTGCCTCCAGAAGCGGTGAATGCTCCAACTGGAAGTTTTTAAGAAGAGACTGGACAGCCATTTGTCCGAAATGGTATAGGGTTTCCTTCCTGAGCAGGGGGTTGGACTAGAAGACCTCCAAGGTCCCTTCCTACTTTATTATTATTATTATTATTATTATTATTATTACTTCCTACCTTAACTTTATTTCTTTAAAGTAAAATATAATCTAATATTTAGTTTCTTTAAAATATTTACATATTTATATAGCTGCCCATTTTTCAACCAACTCTGGGTGGCTCCCAGTGAAAGATTAAAACATATTTTAGTTGATTTTAGGGAGATTAAATAAGTTCACTGAAATGGACTTTTAACCAATTGTGCCCGCTTGAGAAAAAAAAAACCCATTTTTCTTAGGAAAATGTAATTTGAGGAACTCTTAGAGAAAGCTTGTATTGGTAAATATACTTTGAGTAGTAGAAACAGAACCTTCAAATTATTATTTTTGTGTAACGATCATCTTTTTTTTGCTTACAGGTTTTGGATAAAGCAGAACAGCTGCGCGAGCTGGAAGGAAATATTCTGCCAGCTTTTCTTAGACTGCAAGAATTGGTAAAGGAACTAGCCTCATGTCATTATTTAAGAATGAAATCTCCGGCATATCCTGACTGATTTAATGAGTATATTTCTAAAATTAAAAGTGGCAGGTCTAGGTGATCTGCCAATAAATTTTACAAAATTATTTTTGTGAATTTTTAATTAGCAGGACAATTTGAATGTGAAACAGCTTTTTTGCTAGCAAATTTGATCAATTGTGCGTCTTTGAGTTTAGCTACTGTTGTTTATTTTATTAACTTGTCTTCTGTGTTGCCATTTGTGATATATCAACAATTTGAAAAGTTATGCGGCTAAATTTACAGGATATTTTCTGAATACCCAAAGTAGCTGAGTGAACCAGCAATTTTGTTTGAACTTTTAGTTAGTTCACAACTTTTATTTCCCATAAGAAATGTTGCTCTTAAGATCAGTATAAATTTTGCAAAAATGGGAAAGAGAGAAAGAGAAAGACAACGTTCCTCCAGGCCTTCCTGTCCTCCGCCATCTTCTGGAGTCCATTGAAGCTCACGCCTGCTGCTTCAGTGACTCCATCCAGCCCCCTCCTTCTCTGTCGTCCCCTTCTTCTCTTGCCCTCCATCTTTCCCAGCATCAGGCTCTTCTCCAGGGAGTCCTTCCTTCTCATTAGGTGGCCAAAGTATTTGAGTTTCCACTTCAGGATCTGGCCTTCTCAAGAGCAGTCGGGGTTGATCTCCTCTAGGACCGACCGGTTGGATCGCCTTGCAGTCCAGGGGACTCGCAGGAGTCTTCTCCAGCACCAGAGTTCAAAGGCCTCCATTCTTTGGCGCTCATCCTTTCTTATGGTCCAACTTTCACATCCATACATTGCAACTGGGAAAACCATGGCCTTGACTAGACGTACTTTTGTTGGCAGGGTGATGTCTCTGCTTTTTAGTATGCTGTCTAGATTTGCCATAGCTTTCCTCCCCAGGAGCAAGCGTCTTTTAATTTCTTGGCTGCAGTCCCCAACTGCGGTGATCTTGGAGCCCAGGAAGATAAAATCTGTCACTCCCTCCATTGTTTAGTTATATTTTAATTTCTGTTTAAACATAGTTTCACCATCTGTACATTTTTATATGTTTTAACCTGTGATGGAAACTAACCAAGGAGAGAAGCAACCTAGAACTAAGGAGAAATATCCTGACAGTGAGGACAATCAATCAGTGGAACGACCTGCCTCCAGAAGTTGTGGCTGCTCCATCATTGCAGGCTTTTGAAAAGAGACTGGACAGCCACTTGTCTGAGATGGTATATGTCTTCCTGCCTGAGCAGGGGGTTGGACTAGAAGACCTCCAAGGTCCCTTCCAACTTTGCTATTCTGTTATTTTGAGTTGTGTAGATTTTTAAACGTCAATATGTTGTCTGAAGCGTTTTGAGGCTATAGATCAGCCCCTCTGACATTAATAAAAACCAGAATAAATCTCTTGGGGTACAGTAGATCTCTCGACTTACAAATATCGACACTTTTTCCTGGGGGAGAAAGCGTGAAACTGTTTCTCTTCCAATTACCTGGATCAAAAAAAGAGGGGAATAAAATCTAATCGATACAGGAAGGTCTTTAGATCAAAATTTTAATTCGTCACCGTTAATTTAAGGAGGCAGAATTTCGGTTAACAGCGAAGCTTCAGAGATCAGGAACGTGTGGGATTTTTGCTTTTTGCTCTCCTTCCGTCATCACCCCCTACATGAGTATTTCTCTTTTCTTTTTTTTCAACGCTTCGTTGCAGGGGTTATTTTTAGCATTCCTTTTGCATTAAAATAAAAATTTTAGACTGCACAAAAGCTAAAGTCAGGAGGAAGAATCCCTTATCTGTACCTGGCTTTTCCCTCATGAGGAAACGGCGCTAGCGGTATGGAACAGAATGTCAGTAGGAGCTCAAATTTTCGTTGAGGGATTTAACTCAGAAGCTCGTTTCCATTTTGCTCTGATGTTTCCTTCCATATTGTCATTCAATAGTCTATGTGCCTTTCTGATAACTTATAGTAACTCCTCATTATCTCATAGCTTCTAGCAAGAAGCTTTCCTTGAAAACTAGGCCCTGAATGTAAAAATAATATTAACGTTTTACTGTTGTAAAAGCATACTAGAGATGAATAAAATGCACATTATCACATAAGAGGAAAGCAGATTGGAAATAAAATAGTTATGGCTGCTTTGAGCCCGCCACAGTTTTAATGATTTAAGTATTATTATTTTTCAAATGCAATCAATTTATCCTCCCTAATAATTAGGATATGTTATCTTTGGGAATCACAAATGTCATAGTGCAGAAAAACAGAATCCTGAAACCTTTTTTTTTTTTAATGTGTTAGCCGCGGCTTGATTAAGCTATTTCAGGGCTTCTCACTATGCAAATAGCTTGAAGTAAAATGCTGAATCAGATTAATTTCTTTCCGCTTTTTGTTTTCTTGTCAAACCCGAACTCTTCTTTGATTAAACACATAACTACAAGGTTATTTTTATTTCCTCTCTCCTATCCCATCGCTCCCTTACAGACGGGGAGGAACGTGACTGTGGTTCTCCTTAGTGAAATTATATGGGAGCTTCTTCGTCCAAGCACGGGATGCCTTGAGCCGCTGCCTTTGTATTTTCCAGATTACAGCATAGGTAAGGACAAAATAAGTAAATGTACTGTGCATCACTTTATTAGTGTGTCTACCAAAGACGAATAATTGTAATGTCTAAATCTTATTTCTATGAACTAGACCAGGGATTGGCAACCTTAAATACTCAAAAAGCCACTTGGACCCGTTTCCCAGAGAAAAGAAAACACTGGGAGCCACAAAATGTGCGCACATATGCACGCGGGAGGGGGAGCTTAGCTGAAGAGTTTAATTAAAAAGAAATAGAGGCTGCTGTGCATGAGTTCTCTCTCTCTCCTCTCTCTCGCCCTCTTTGTCTCCCTCCCTCTCTCTCTTTCTCTCCCCCTCTCTCCGATCTTCTGCTCAGCTGGCAAGCTGGCTTCATGCTGTTCTCCGACAAGCTGACATACATTCTTATTGGGCTGGCTCTCTCCTGCCCTTGGTCTTCCAGTCCTCTTCCCCCACTCAGTGTGTTTGTGTGTGCGTGTGTGTGTGTGTGCGTGTGTGTGTGTGTGTGTGAGAGAGAGAGAGAGAGAGAGAGAGAGAGAGAAAGAGAGCGAGAGCTGCTTCCTGCTGAGACACAGCAAAGGCAGGAGCCCCACCCAATAAGCTTGTCAGCTTGTCCGAGAACAGCGTGAAGCCACTCTCTTTTTCACAGAGAGAGAGAGAGAGAGAAAGAGAGAGAGAGAGAGAGAAGGGAAGCGCAAGTGCCTCTCTCTCTCTCTCTCTCTCTCTCTCTCTCTCTCTCTCTCTCTCCAAATGGCGGAGGAGGCTGGGAGCCGCAGGAGAAGGCTGAAAGAGCCACATGCGGCTCCAGAGCCGCGGGTTGCCGTTCCGTGAACTAGACGCATGAGGCTCAGTCTTTAGGTGCTGGATAATGGAGATGGTTAGCAGCTAAGCCAGACACACACACACACATCTGTCAAGGGACTGTAGATAGTCCTCAACTTACAACAGTTTGTTTAGTGACCGTTCGAAGTTGCAACGGCACTGAAAAAAGCCTGACTTATGACCATTTTTCACAGTTACGAACTTTGCAGCATCCCCGTGATCCTGTGATCAAAATTCAGACGCTTGGCAACCGGTTCATAATTTATGACCGTGGCTGTGTCCCAAGGCCATGTGGTCCCCTTTTGTGACCTTCTGACCAGCAAAATCCATGGTGGGGGGGAATCCAGATTCACTTAACAACCGTGTCACTAACTTAGCAACTGCAGTGATCCACTTAACAACCAAGGCAAGAAAGGTCGTAAAATGGAGCAAAACTCGCTTAACAAATATTTCATTTAACAGAAATTGTGGTCATAAGTCAAGACTACCTGCATTTCAGAAGTTCTAATGGGTATGGTGGCAAGCAGTATATTAATTAGAAGCATCTTACTTCCCACTAATCAGTCATCACTCTCAGAATGACGTACTAAAAAAAACACAAAACACGTAGTGTAAAATACGAATATGAGATAATCAACAAATAATGTTAACTTGCCTGACAGTTAATAATCACTGTATAAATGAACAAGGACCCTAAGGGACATGTTAATAAAATGTTTGCCTGATGTTGAGAAAAGGTAGTTTCTAGGAGATTGCTTTGATCATTCTGGGAATCTGATGGAAAAGAAGGAATTGTGGTAGATGTTTTCTTCAAAGAGAATTGCATCTGCAAAGAAACTAAAAGCACGATAACGATGATTTTAATTAAGAAGACTTGGGTTGCTCCTTTTTGCTTTAATAATTAGAATGTTACCTGATTAACGAGAGCGAGCTGAATAGCTAAAAAGAAATACTTATTATTATTATTGTTTTGCAAAATGGCTGTAACTGTAACAGCACGTTTCTTGGTCTTATATAAAAAATATTGTTCTGTGTGATGTCTCCTGAATTTTAGTATGGGAAGCAATGTGGTAAGTCACTCTGTGAGTTTTAATGGAAAACCGTGTTTTTGTTTTTAATTCAAATAGGACATCTGCAGAAGATTCTGTCCCATGACCATCCTCCAGAGTATTCGTTTGATTTTTATGCTGCATATATCAATATTCTTCTGGGAGTCTTCTATCCAGTCTGCAGGGACTTGAAGGAGCTCCAGCATCTGGTGAGGGATCTTCATAATCAAGATAAGATAAGATAATCTTTATCATCACTTCTTCTGTGAACACACTGGCATACATTAAAAAATGAAATGCTGATGCCCGCTCTCAAAAGAACTTAAAGATCCACTAAATGGCGTGTGACATATATGCATATATAAATAGAATTAGAAATAGAAATAGAATAGAATAGAATAGGGAATGGAATGGAATGGAATGGAATGGAATAAGGAATAGGATAGGATAGGATAGGATAGGATAAGGAATAGAATAAAGAATAGAATAGAATAGAATAGAATAAGGAATAAAATAGAATAAGGAATAGAATAGAACCAGAAGGGACCTTGGAGGTCTTCTAGTCCAGCCCTCTGCTCAAGCAGAACCTAGACCATCTCAGACAGGTGACTGTCTAGTCTCTTCTTTAAAATCTCCAGTGATGGAGCGCCCACGATTTCTGGAGGCAAAAGCTGTTCCATTGGTGGATTGTCAGGAAGTTTCTCCTTAATTCCAGGTTGCTTCTCTCTTTGGTCGGTTTCCAACCATTGTTTCTCATCCTTCCCTCTGGTGCCTTGCAGAATAATGTGACCCCCTCCTCTTTGTGGCAGCCCCTCAGATACTGAAATGCTGCTATCATGTCTCCCCTACTTCTTCTTTTCTTTAGACTAGCCAAACCCAAATCCTGCAGACCGTTCTTCGTAGGTTTTGGTCTCCAGATCTTTAAGTTCTAAATGATACTAAATAAACTTTGCACTCTTTATCTTACAGGCTGCCCTTAATTTTTCTAAATATTGTGAACCTGTGGTCCAAGGAGAGGGTGAGTAGTCTACTTTCAGTGTTGTCATAGATACACGTATGTTGAGCGGCGCAGTGGCCTAGAGGTGAAGATGCTCGCCTCCCACTCGGAAGGTTGAGAGTTCAATCCTACGCAGCTGGCAGATGTTTCTCTATCAGGCGCTCAAAGAGGAAATATCTGCTGCCAACTCCGCCTAGGCGTCAGGAAGGGCATCCGACCAGCAAACACTCAGCTCCATTCAGTCACCTCGACTCCACCCCAATAAAAGGGATTATAGGGTCGCAAAAAGGGGAAAAAAATAGATACACATATGCTAGTTCAATGGGAGACAAGAATTACTCCAGAAATTTTCTTATGGGAAGCTGGTGGGGGGTGTTGGAAACGACAATCGTGTGTTTAGCTGATCGCAGTAGTACCGAAACAGCCAAGCGTTTACCAAATTTCAATCCTGCGGGGCCTGGATTTTGAGCACGTTCTTTAAGTTAGCCCGTTTGAAGGCAAGTTGATTCCAAAAATTGTTGACCTAAAACTGCGGTCCCCAACTTTTCTGGCTTGGCGGACAGACGGGGAACGAAAGGGAGAGTGGAGTTCTGTGTGAGTGGCAGGTGCGTGCGCTCATGCAAATGGAGCTGCGAGGGCACGCGCCCATCGCTCAGGCAAGTGGGGCTGCATGCGCTCCCTCGCACGCTGCTTATGTGACCCAGTTCTCAACAGGCCATGACTGTGGGCCACAACCCGGGGTTGGGAATCCCGAGATTCAAACATTACTGTAAACGTCTCCAGTATGGCCATCTCCTCCTGTATTGGGACTGCAGATTCCAGAATCCTTATCTCTGAAAACAATTTATCCATTTGGCTAGATATTCTAGAGCTGCCAAGACAGAAGGCATGGAGTCAGAGAAAATATGAATAAAATTGGCAGCTATTGTTACATAGCTGGAGGCTTTTGAGAGATCAGCCCTGATTAAATTGTCTTTCCCCGGCACAGCGAATGAACGCGACACACGCCGACTGTGGAAAAATATTGAATCCCATTTGAAGAAAGCGATGCAAACGGTTTATCTTCGGGAGATATCAAGGTAATTGCTTCTCTTCCTTCTCTATTTATTTATTTTTTTTACAGCAACCCCGAACTATCAAATACGAAAGTTTTTTTTCCCCCCAATCATTATGTCTCCCTATCTTTTTAAACTCTGCTTAATATGGGTCATAAGAGTTTATTTTTGTTACTAATGAAAAATATGCGGTTATTCAAGTGATACCGAAGACAAGGGGGGGGATATGGGAGGTTTCTTGTATGGGTTTGCTATTAAAAGCAGTCAATAATAATAATAATAATAATAATAATAATAATAATAATAATAATAATAATAATAATATAATAATAATAATAATAATAATAATAATAATAATAATAATAATAATAATAATAATAATAATAATAATAAAGTTGGAAGGGACCTTGGAGGTCATCAAATCCAACCCCCTGCTTAGGCAGAAAACCCTATACCATTTCAGACAAATGGCTGTCCAGTCTCTTCTTAAAAACTTCCAGTGTTGGAGCATTCACAGCTTCTGGAGGCAGGTTGTTCCACTGGTTAATTGTTCTCACTGTCAGGAAGTTTCTCCTTAGTTCTAGATTGCTTCTCTCCTTGATCAGTTTCCACCCATTGCTTCTTGTCCTGCCTTCAGGCGCTTTGGAGAATAGCTTGACTCCCTTTTCTTTGGGGCAGCCCCTGAGATACTGGAGCACTGCTATCATGTCCCCCCTCGTCCTTCTAAATACTGAAGGAGTACAGATGAATTGTATAGTAACAGAGCTGGAAGGGACCTTGGAGATCTTCTAGTCCAACCCCCTGCTCAAGCAGGAGACTCTATACCAGGGGTGTCAAACTCGCAACGTCATGTGATGTGTCGCAACGTATCGTGAATTTTTTGCCATTGCCAGCAATGGGGAGGGCGCGGTTTCACTATGATGGATCCAGTCCATGGGCTGGCAGTTTGACACCCCTAGCCTATAGCATTCCAGACAAATGGCAGTCCAACCTCTTCTTTAAAAACTCCATTTTTTAACCTCCACAACTTCTGGAGGCAATCCTTTCCCCCTATTAATTGTTCTCACAGAAAGAAAATTTCTGATTTCTATTTCTTAGTTCTCCCTCTGAAGGCCCTTTCGCCGAGCCCTGAAGGCCCATCTATTCCGTGCGGCCGGCCTGGCGTAGTTTGGATTGTGTTTCAGTGGGGGGTTTTGTATGGGTGTGTTTTTAGAACAGGCCTATTATTCAATTCGATTTTAAAACAGAAACTATTTATTTATTCGTGGTTTTTAGTATCGCCTGTTCACCGCCCTGAGTCCCGCAAGGGAGATAGGGCGGTATATAAATTTAATAAATAAATAAATAAATAAATAAATAAGTCCATTGCTTCTTGTCCTGCCTTCAGGTGCCTTGGAGAATCGGTCAACTTATTGAAAAGCTGCCTTTGGGACTACTTTTCTTAAGGTTTTTTTGGTTGTCCCTAGGAAAACAGCTAGCAAATATGTTTGGTCTCATTCTGCTGTTGATATTCAGCAACACATTTCCAAAGGGGCCTTTTCATTAACACCTGTCGCTAACATTTCCTGATATAATTTCCCGTATTCACCTTACACTGGATCTAGTAAGGATGACATGTAATGTTGAATAATAAATGTTGATCTAATAATAATAATAATAATAATAATAATAATAATAATAATAATAATAAAGTTGGAAGGGACCTTGAAGGTCATCTAGTCCAACTCCCTGCTCAGGCAGGAAACTCTATACCATTTCAGACAAATGGCTATCCAGTCTCTTCTTAAAAACTTCCAGTGTTGGAGCATTCACCGCTTCTGGAGGCAGGTTGTTCCACTGGTTAATTGTCCTCACTGTCAGGAAGTTTCTCCTTAGTTCTAGGTTTCTTCTCTCCTTGATCAGTTTCCACCTGTTGTTTCTCGTCCTGCCTTCAGGCGCCTTGGAGAATAGCTTGACTCCCTCTTCTTTGGGGAAGCCCCTGAGATACTGGAAGACTGCTATCCTGTCCCCCCTCGTCCTTCTCTTCGTTAAACTAGACATACCCAATTCCAGCAACCGTTCCTTATATGTTTTAGCCTCCAGTCCCCTAATCATCTTTGTTGCTCTTCTCTGTACTCTTTCTAGAGTCTCAACATCTTTTTTACATCGTGGTGATCAAAACTGGATGCAGAATTCCAAGTGTGGCCTTACTAAGGCCTTGTAAAGTGGTATTAATACTTCACGTGATCTTGATTCTATCCCTCTGTTAATGCAGCCCAGCACTGTGTTGGCTTTTTTGGCAGCTGCAGCACACGGCTGGCTCCTATTTAAGTGATTGTCCACTAGGTGCTGAAATGGATGAGCGTGGCTGATGAATTTCATTTGGTCTTTTTTTTTTATTCCCTTCTTTGATTCACGTCTAGTATTTATATCATTTGTCCAGTTAATTAGCAAAACTGTTTCTGATTCCCTGCTGGAGGTGTCTATTTTGAGATAGTAAGGAAGGTAGCTGCTGTATTGTTTGGATAAAATTTTCTGTATTGTACCCTAGGACAAAAGCATCACAGCACATTTTTACAAAATGTTTAAAGGAACACCTGGGTTTTGTTCTCCAGTTGCCAAGCTGTCTGTTCAGTAAAATAATCTTGTATTGTTCCTGTTGTCGATGTACTGTTAAACAATTTAACTGCCTTACTGCTTCAATCCCAAAGAATCCCAAATGTGTATCCTCTTTTAAAAGCGAAACATAAAAAAAAACACCTTTGCTTTTCGCCGTGGCAAACACAGGGCTTTTAAATGGCTACCTTGTCTTTTTAGCTCCCAGTGGGAACGATTACAGCAAGATAATGGAGAACCTGGACAAGTGAAAGGTATGTGTAGCTACAATAGTTTGGCTGTGTAAATTATTGATGACAAAGGGAGCCTTAACAATTTAGAACAAATCAGCCACCGTTAACCGAGCAAGCATTTATAAATATACCAGCAGCTTCACAAAAAAAATGTATCCAGTGAAAACCAAAACAAATAATAATAATAAAAAAAAATCTTAAGCTGTGGACGAGAACCTTTAAATTGATTTTTTTTAAAACACATGAGCTTTTAAGTTGTCAGATTCAATATTTCTTTGTTTTACTGGGTTTTTTTTTTTTTCCCCCTAGGACTTTCAGCTCACGCTCATGTAGAACTGCCCTATTACTCCAAGTTCCTTCTGATAGCAGCTTACCTCGCCTCTTACAATCCTGCCAGGACAGATAAAAGATTCTTTGTGAAGGTAATTAGGTTTTGTTATTTTGGTCTTTAAAAAGGTTGCAGATTCAAATGAAAAAAAAAAATTATAATTTTTACCGAAGATTTTTTACGCGGCGTGAAGATATCGAAAGGGAAAAATGAGAAAAAAGGGGAAGTGCAAAAAAGCAATGCTGTTCGGAAAAGAAAGAAAGAAAGAAAGAAAGAGAAAGGAAAGAAAGAAAGAAAGAGAAAGAAAGAAAGAAAGAGAAAGAAAGAAAGAAAGAAAGAAAGAAAGAAAGAAAGAAAGAAAGAAAGAAAGAAAGAAAGAAGCAACTTCTGATCTTTGCAGAACGTGGATAGAGAGGACCACTGGTCTGAAAGAGGGGTCAAAGAGGCCATTTTGAGTGTGGCTGCCATTTTGAGTGTGGCCGCCATTTTGAGCTGCCACTCGGAGTGTGGCAGCCTTTTTGGGCGTGGCCGCCTTTTTGTGTCCCTTATTGAGACTGGGTCTTTCTTGAGGCCGCCATCTTGGGGCCTGCTCTGCGCCCTTTTCTCCCCTGTGGCCACCATTTGAAGCCTCTGGAGCCTCAGTTTGCAACATTGAACAGCCCTCTTTCAACTGAGGGGGAGAGAGAGATGACACCATCTGTCTCCTGTTTACAACACAGTCCTCAGTTAAATTAATTTGAATTTTTCTGGGCTTTTGGCTGGCAGACTCTATCCTCTCTATCCAGAATATGGATAAGAGAGGATAGAGTCTGCCAGCCAAAAGCCCAGAAAAATTCAAATTAACTGAGTGTCCTGGTTCCGACAGATGAAACTCTTCAAAGAACTTTGAGGCATTGTTTACCTTAAAGAATCTTTATTCGAGTAGCATGGCATCGGCATGTACATGGTTGAAGCCGAAATCTGAATTCTCCTCCCCTAAACACATAGTATCAAAACACAATTCCCTCCTCTAATTAACAGTCAGAAATCACATTCTCCAATTAGTTTGAAATGCAGACCTTTTCTCCAGTTCTCCAGCCCGCCATTTCTTATCATCTCTTATTTCAAACAACCTTGAAAAACACTCTACTACGATGTTGTTATATCTAACTAATTCCCATACACATCCTTCCTCTCCCCCCCACCCCCAGTATTCTTACTCTAAAAGTAACACACAAGTTAAGGGGAAATCGGCTGCATCTTCGTATTTGGTCCAAGCAAGAACATCCGATGTTAGCAGCATTGACGCTGAGGATGTAAGAGCAAGCAACTGTGTTTAGTAGAAATAAATTTAAATTAAGGCCAGAGAGTCATCTGGATTTCACTGCTTAAAAAATAAATTGGATGGGAGAGACTTACCTCAATAACTTTTTGACCTAAACTGCTGGCTTCCCCATTGGCTCAAATGGCAGTCATGTGATTGCAGGGCCCTTGGCAACCGGTCATCAGTTTGGTCAGGTTGCTAAGCACCCAGGTCACAATCCTGTGTGACTACAAAGGTGCTGGGGCAGCCAGAATTCTTGAGGACCAGTCCTAACCACAATTGGTTCAGCACCATCCTGGTTGTAGGTTGATAGCAGGCATTCCAAGCTAGAAGCTCTATTTCTGTGTTATTGTTATCTAAATAGTTAATAAAGAAAAATAAGATGAATTATAGTTGAATTATGCATGCAAAAATACACTGAGTCTCCGCCATCTTCTAGCTGGATGCCAGTTCTGTAAACGTCTATCTGATAACTAATTTCTTCTTTTTACTTGCAGCATCATGGAAAAATTAGGAAGGTAGACTTTCAGAAGAAACATGAAAAGGTGTTTATTTAGCTTTGTGTTTCTGATCCATATAAAATTTTGTGTGCTATGTGTGTGTGTGTTTGTATATGTATGTATGTGTGTGTATATATGAATATATATGTGTGTGAATATGAATATATATGTGTGTGTGTATATATCTATAGATATCTATAGATAGAGCTATATACTATATATCTATATCTATCTACCTACCTACCTACCTACCTACCTATCTATATTTCTATATCTAGGTACAGATGATAAGTATGAAAAGGGTAAATTCAGAAGAATTTCAGCAAATGAAGAGTTCCCCTCTTAGAAATGATGTTTCTCTTAAGAGTACAATAGAGATAGTCCTCTATTTATGACCGGTTGCTTAACTACCTTTTGACATTACAGACTTCAAAAAAAGCGAATTACGACTTGAACTTACAACTGCTGTCTCCTCTCCACCCCCCCACCCCATGTTTATATGAACACATTTTGGGCCCCTGACAACCACGTTGCACTTAACTGGTTGTAGCATTCTGTGGTCACGTGACCCCAATTTGTGACTTTTGCCAGATTCCAGAAAAAAAAAAAACGTCCATTCAGGAGAATGGATTTGCTTAATGACCAGGCAATTTTCTTTTTACGACCCTTGTAAAAATGGTCCTAAAAACAAGTCCAGACGTGGTGCCTCGATTCAATACATTTTTAAGGTGCTTTTAATATATGTATCGGACTTAACGGTATTTTGCCCAGAGTTGTCTTGGACTTAGGAAACCTCAGGTAATTAAAATAATAATAATTAATAACCATCACTACCTACCTGAATTATGACACTAAATTCATTAAAGCTTATTTCTATATGCATGTGGGTTTTGGCAGCTGGAGTAGTAGTAAAGTTAACAAAATTAATTCTGCAAGATTCCAAGCTAGTGCCATTAACAATTTCTTTTTTAAAAAAAATAAAAACAGACCAGCAACCATCTTCTGGGGCCCAAGCCCTTCCCACTGGACCGATTGCTAGCCATACTCTACAGCATTGTGGACAGCCGAATTCCTCCGACTGCAAATATATTTTCCCAGGTGAGTGAAACTGCCCTGTGTTTAGAGCCTCGACACAAATTTCAGACCTCGCTTTCTTGTTTACAAAATAATCACAAACCTGTTGCCGCTAGTGTTACAGTTACAGGTATCCCCAAACTTACAACAGCTTCTTTAGTGACGGTGCAAAGTTAACAACAGCATTGGAAAAACCCTAGCCTACAGGCAATCCTTGATCGTCCTTGGTTAATGACTGCTCTGTTTAGCGAACATTCAGAACTAAGATGGCACTGAAAAACTAACTTTTAAACAACCAGGTCCACACATAGAGATTTCGGGCTAATTACTTTATTATGTTGAACCGATAAGATAAGATAAGATACCTTTATTGTCATTTTTTTTACTGTGGGCACAACGGCACACATCAAAAATGAAATTTAGTTGCCCGCTCTCAAGTGAAACACATACATGACACACACCTAAACATACTACGAACAACATATGTACAGACCCACACCCCTACATATACGTAGCAAATAAATATTAAATACTGTCCATCTTGAATATATGACGGAAGGAGGAAGCTTGAGAGTTCACAAGGTTAACGCTGTATTGAATGAAACTATGGCTGAATCTGGATATTCTGCTACGGATACCACGGAGCCCCCCCCCCCAAAGGTAACAAGGAAAACAGGTCATGGAGAGGGTGTGTAGCGTCCCAGATAATCTTGCGGACCCTGCTCAAGCAATGCTTCTGTGCTATGTCCTGGATGGAAGGGAGGGAACTGCCAATGATCTTTTCGGCCATCCTCACCACTCTCTGCACCGCCTTCCTGTCTGAAAGGGATGCCTCCAAACCAGACTGTGATGCTGTATGACGGGATGCTCTCGATCGTCCCCCTGTAGAAAGTGGTCAGGACAGGGGAAGGAAGATGTGCTTTTCTCATGTGATGCAGAAAATGCAGGCGCTGCTGCGCCCGCTTCGCCAGTGTCTCGCTGTTGAGTGACCAAGTCAGCCTTGGAATTTCCCCAGTCTGGCAGCCAATGCCTGGGAACAATTAGATAACATTTAGATAGGTTTACAGAGTCAGCCCTGGCCTTTTTGTAGTGGCGCAGGGACTCCAGACTAGCTCCCAGCTTGATCCCTCCTCCCACCAGTGCGGTTCTTTCCCCACACTTTATGATCAACCATTCTAGTATCCCGACAGTTACGCGATTGAAATCCAGACAACTGTTGCGGTGTCCATGGGTCATCTGATGGCCATCTGTAGGCTTCACAGCTGGCTTCTGTGTAAATGGAGAAGATGGCCATAAAATAGCAAGTTGAGTCTTGTGATGTCTCACTTACTAACCAAGGTGATTGTGCTTAATAACCGTGGCTGAAGTGATGTAAGTGACCCAGGCAGAGACTCGTGATTTTTTCATTTAACAAGTTGCATGTTTCTTTTTTGCCTCCCAAATGTATGTGTCGCTTATTCTGCAATAATTTGGATTTTTATCCTGTGAACGTGCACTAGATGGCACTCTATCCTCATGAATAAAAAGCGACTTAGGGCAATTTTATAAAATGAAATGAAAATTGTAACAAATAGAGGGGAGGGGGAAAAACGAATACTGCTCATGGGATATAAAAAATATCCCCTTTTTAATATCTCCCATAAAGGGCAGTTGAATATTCGATCTACTTACTTGAACGATGAATATATGAATACACCCTACAGCTACAATTTTCTGTATGGTTAATGTGGCTTTGCTTTGCTTTTATTTATATAAAACCACTTTTGTGGATAAATAAAATTGTTCTGTCCTTTTCAAATTCGTTCACTCATTCTGCTTTCTCACGTAATCCATTTTTTGTAAATGCCTTCCTTCTTTCATTTGAACTTTTGATGGTCTGCCTAGTTTGAGCGTCAATCTAAAGTCTGAAAAAGTGGAATTCTGTGAACATACGATGGAATTACGAGAAAATAGCAATCGGCCGCTTCCGACTCAGTAATTATTTTAGGTCTATTGGAAACACAGGGTTTGACTTTGGGGTAAAAAAATAAAAAGACTTAGCTCTATCAGAGCTAAAGAATAATTTAAAGTGACATGTGAGATTTATTAGAAAGCAGTTTGGGTATCTTTACACTGAAGAAGATAATCTTCCTTCCATTTCGTTGTTTGATGATTAACATATAATGTTCAGCTTGAAATCATCAGTCTGTAATTGGTTTTTTTTTTTTTTATTGCCCTCTTCCTGGGATTTTCTGATTGATTGAAGAACCTGTGTGTTTTATTTGGACAATATGGAAATAGGAAAGCCTGCTTCTCAATAGGTGAACACATCCCTGAACACTTTCAAAGCTAATTGATAACTGTCTTCGTTGTGTTGGAGTCATTGCGGAATAACAGAAATACAGAGTTGGAAGGGACCTTGGAGGTCTTCTAGTCCAACCCCCAGCTCAAGCAGGAGACCCTATACCATTTCAGACAAATGGCTGTCCAGTCTCTTCTTAAAAACCTCCAGTGTTGGAGCATTCACAGCTTCTGGAGACAGGTTGTTCCACTGGTTAATTGTTCTGACTGTCAGGAAGTTTCTCCTTAGTTCTAGGTTGCTTCTCTCCTTGGTTAGTTTCCATCCATTGGTTCCTGTCCTTCCTTTGGAGAATAGGTTGACCCCCTCTTCTTTGTGGCGACCCCTCAAATATTGGAACACTTCTATCATGTCACTCCTAGTCCTTTTAATTAGACTAGACGTACCTAATTCTTGTCCTTCAACCTTTCTTCCTATGTTTTAGCCTCCAGTTTTCTTAATCATCTTTGTGGCTCTTCTCTGCAATCTTTCTAGAGCAGTGTTTCTCAACCTTGACAATTTTAAGGCATGTGGACTTCAACTCCCAGAATTCCACAGCCAGCATTGCTGGCTGTGGAATTCTGGGAGTTGAAGTCCACATGCCTTAAAATTGTCAAGGTTGAGAAACACTGTTCTAGAGTCTCAACATCTTTTTTACAGTATATCGTGGTGACCAAAACTGGATGCCGTATCCCAAGTGCAGTCTTACCAAAGCATTACAAAGTGTTGTACAACTGTAGCCATTATTTCTTTGTCACAATGCTGTGTAGAACAACTTAACTTTTACAGTGTTTCAGATTATACAGCAGATGGCGCTTTTATCAAAGAATTCAGCTTCTTTAATGACCTGACAGTTATTAAAATCTTTTCCAAAGCCCACACTCCATCCAAGGACTTGAAATTGAGCATAACAAAGTGTGCCCAATGCATGTTATCATTTCCCACGAGATTATAGCAAAGAAAATAAAAAAATAGGAGGAGAAAGGAGTAGCGTGTGTGTTCATTACCTTGAGTTACTTAAAAAGTAATAAAGGTGGGATTTTAAAATGTCTTAATAAATAAAATAAATAAAAAATGGGCTAGACTATGCTACCACTGAAAGGACCCAGAACTGGTTGAATAATTTACTTGGAAAGGAGAAGACCAAAAAGAGACATGATAGTTATGTTCATTATCTGGAAGATTGTGATGTAGAAGATGATTAGGACTTTGTATTAGAAGATAGGGCAAGAAGCAATAGGCATAAATTATCAAATGGTTGATTTTAATTGGACATCAAGAAAAATTTCCTAATAGTAAGACTTACTATTTAGGACTTTCTCAGTATGGTGGATTCATCTGCTTTGGAAGTACAGTATTTGAGCAGAAATTGGATAGTCGTGGCACAGACTAGATTAATCTCTAAAGTTCTTTTTCTTCTTTAACATTCATGAATTTATGGGATTATCACAGTTTCTCAAAGGTTAATTTTTTTGCACATCCTTCTACCTCTACTGAAATATATTGTTATGGCCTGTTATGCCCAATTGCCATCCTATTGGGGACATGGAATATTTCAATCAATAAGGTGAACCTTCTGAACATGCATTTGTGATATTGTGTCTCTCGCATGCCTGCACATGCTTTTACACGCACACACACCCCACCCAATATTTAATTGCTCAGGTGTAACACGGATTTGAGATACACCCGTCCCGTTAGATGTCAGCTGGTCAGGTGCGAATAACTAGTAGCCCTTGAAATTCAGTCTAGATACCTTAATGTACCTTTAGGCATGATGGTGGCGGCATAGTGGTTAGAGGGCAGGATTGCTGGAAAACTCTGCCCACTGCCAGCCGTTCGATCCTGACTGGCTCAAGGTTGACTTGGCCTTCCATCCTTCTGAGGTCGGTAAAATGAAGACCCAGATTGCTGGGGGCCAATGGCTGACTCTGTAAACCGCTTAGAGAGGGCTTTGTAAAACACTGTGAAGCGGTATATAAGTCTAAGTGCTATTGCTATGCCTCCCTCCCTCCCTCCCTTCCTTCCTTCCTTCCTTCCTTCCTTCCTTCCTTCCTTCCTTCCTTCCTTCCTTCCTCCCTCCCTCCTTCCTTCTTTCCTTCCTTCCTTCCTCTCCTGTTCCCTTTCTCATTCTCCTTCCTGGTAGCACAGTGGTTAGAAGGAAGTATTGCAGGCTAATTCTGCCCGCTGCCAGGAGTTCGATCCTGACTGGCTCAAGGTTGACTCAACCTTCCATCCTTCCGAGGTTGGTAAAATGAGAACCCAGATTGTTGGGGGGGAAAATGCTGACTCTCTAAACCACTTAGAGAGGGCTTTATAAAGCACTGTGAAGCGGTATATAAGTCTAAGTGCTATTGCTATGCCTCCCTCCTTTCTTTCCTTCCTTCCTTCCTTCCTTCCTTCCTTCCTTCCTTCCTTCCTTCCTTCCTTCCTTCCTTCCTTCCTTCCTTCCTTCTTCTCTTATTCCCTTTCTCATTCTTCTTCCTGGTAGCACAGTGGTTAGAATGCAGTATTACAGGCTAATTCTGCCTGCTGCCAGGAGTTCGATCCTGACCTTGACTCAGCCTTCCGTCCTTCCAAGGCCGGTAAAATGAGGACCTGGATTTTGGGGGGGGGGCAACAGGCTGACTCTGTAAACCGCTTGGAAAGGTCTGTCAAGCACCGTAAAGCAGTATATAAGTCTAAGTGCTGTTGCTATTGTTTGATT